CCTGTGAAAGCGCCTTGAGCGGTTGCGGTTTCATCCTCATGTGCATCGGATGCTTCGCTGTGCTGTGCATGAGCCTTCAAGGTTGCCAAGCAGAGATTGCCAATGAGCCCGTCGACCATGGGGTTGTATGGTTCACCATAGTCATAGGGTTACTTCTAGGTCTAGGGTTGTGGTTTATGTTGTTAGGTGCCGAGCCTCCGCAGCAACAACCTTGTGAGCCCGACGACGCGTCCACACCTGCTTGTGATGACGGCGCGACGACCTTTAATGATGATGTCTCTGCTAGTGGCGAGGCTACGCCATTGCCCGACCCGGTCAGAGCATCCTCTGATGAGCCCATGTCAGAACCGACGCAGAACAGTGATGCGGGAAGCGATGGCACCAGCCACTCCGCGTTACCTGGTGAACCCTTGGTTGAGCTTGAAGATCCTGCCGAGACCGATGTTCATACTGACGTCGGAAACCATGCCCTAGTCGCTACGGCCTTGCCAGCAGAGCTTGATGCAGCTTTCAACCCAGGCCAATTGCGAGTGTATTATGCGCCGATTGCTGGGCGCAGATGGCATGTGTTCCGCAGATGNNGAGCCAGGATCATTGCCGAAGAAGAGTTACAGGTGGTCTTGCAGCGTGATCCAAGAATCACGATGTGCTTGATATGCTTGAACCAGGTGCGCGATGATCTGAGATTCCGAATGCCCCAAGTTGCAGATGAACCCGATGATCTACACCGTGAATACCCCGAACCTGAGCCTTTCCAGTAGTTTGTGGTTTAGTCCCTTCTTGTAACACAAGCTTGAGGCTATCCGCGAGTTGTGACTTCAATGCACTTGTGAGGTTATCCAATGCTTTGGACGTCCATGTTACCAGCCACTTGGGAAGTCAGACCCACTTGGGCTGAAGAAGCCGATCTTGCTTCACGCCATAGGCGGCTGCTTTCGTCGACTTGGTGACTTGAGCTTGTCACCGTTTTGCAAACTGCCTGCCCTAATCCCTTTTGTCTTGAATGAGCCAGTAGCGCTCAGTTATGGCAATACCAACTCTGTGCGCCGTCGATGGCAGTGCTTATGCAGCTGGCAGGGCATGCTAGGTCACAGGTCCGTAGCAGGCAGAGTTTCTTTTCACCCGCAGCCTAAGAGCTGCTTCGACCCTGGCAAGGACTGCGGTTCGCCCGCGCTTCGCCCGACTGAAGACTTGCCAATTGCAGTTCGGCATGCTTGGCACGACTTGGCGGCATGTATAGTTCCTTTCCTTTTCTTGTGCTCCACTGTGTAGCTTGGTAGCTTTGGCTCTGTTGTGCAGTGATGCAGTGAAGTGTGTTCGTTCACACAAAGTCGCATGCACTTGATGTCTTGAGGAATCATTTGCATACGGGCGGGGTGCTTATTGTTAACCGAACCCACGTCCAGGAAGGAAGGAAGGAGTTTTTGTAGGAGGAGGATTTTTGTGAAACAGTTTTCCTCTTCTGCATTTTCCAGTTTACATGTTTGCTGCCAGTTAATGTGCTAAGTACATGTCATGCTGCAGGCGCTTTGTTCCTAGGGTGAAAACATTCACAAGGAGCGGCAGCCGTGGCCCTTTGGAGCGCAAATGCTGCAAAATACCACCCAATTTTGGCAAGGCCAGCAAGAACTTGCACAGCAATTTTCAAGTAAGCTTGCTGAATTGTTCAGTCACCAT